ACATTTTGCCTTGCAACGGCTCACATACGAACACTTATACAATTGTTGCAAGGAATCTGTAATATTCAGATTGTATGGAACTCTCTCTACACGAGGCATTAGATTTAACATTTCCTTATGACAGGATCAGGCTACGTTATTATACGTTCCGCAGAGCCAAACGGACGATCCTAAGTAAAACGACAACGTTTAAATCTATGAAAGGTCGAACCCTCATTAGTAATAAAAAATATTTTACTCCGTACTAATGAAGCACAATCTCTTCATATATACATTCGAACTCCTAGCCGAGCTTCGTCCTCGTTTCCCCAAACCAGTGTTGATTAACTTTAGTCCGATATATCATGCATGCGTGCTATTACTCTCTCTCTCTCTCTCTCTCTCTCTCTCTCTCTCGTTTAGTTTTTGCGAACAAAATGCCTTGCTATGAATTGTTTAACTGTTGACTGAAGCATCTTTTCAAAGAATACACTGTTGCATCAACTTCCATGATTCTACCTACAAATAGATTGACTGATAAGACATCAAACAGATTACCCAAACAAACAGACATTATAGTTTTTATAAATGCAAAAGAACACAAGATATATACAAGCATTGTGAACATTAGAAGGTAGTGGGTGTTTGGTGTAAAGACATAAAACAGCTGTTAAGTGCTTTAATTGACCGAAATTTGCCAAGAATACCATTGCTTCTTAAAGAAGAACTGAAATTATATGATTCTGATGAGAAAAATCAAGTACATATTGCATATTTACGTCCCATTATTTCAAACGGGTTATGCGATGGACAACATTTCAATTCAAAGCTGTGAATGTTGCACAATAAACATTGGCATACCATCAACCTAGATTTACCTAGAAAATACTTTGATTTTAACTAGAATAATTATGACAAATTATGAAAATTAATTTATAATTTACTTTAAAAGTTAAAATTAAAGTCGCCTCATGTCAGGGGTGAGTACATGTATATTGTCTATAAGTTAGAAAGTATTACCAGCAGAGGCGGAGCAAGGATTTGTGGTTATTAAGGTGGGAGGGGGTGGGGGGGGGGGGGGGGGGGTGGGGGGGAACCCTAACAATGTTACCAAGTGGAGGAATGCAGGGATAAAAAATGGCCGAAAAATTATGTTTTCCGATTTTAGGGGACGTATGCCAGGTGCATTCCCATTGAAATTGCACTGCACAGATTGTGATAGTCCATAAGTACCTGATCGTCCCCAATGCGAGTAATGTAAACAGACCACATTGATGTCATGCGCAAGACGCATTCTTTTGGAATTATGAACAATTACCATACAATCATCAGCTTTTTCGGAGCGAATTGTAATTTAATATGTTAGTTACAATACCTTGTAAAACTCATAAATCGAATTTCGAAACAAGACTTTTTATAAATTTTAAAACATGTCTCAACTTTAATTTCTGTGGATATATAACTATGTTGTAAAGTATGATACCATTTTACATCAAGGATCATGTAGTATTGTTCTCTCATTTGCTATCCGGCTAGGTAGTATTGTTCTCTGATTGGCTACCTATGATGCAAAAATAAAAACAAAAGAACAAACTATATTTGTATATAGGGTTTATGGCATGACAAAGTATAGCGGTATATAACAGACATAAAATTACTTCTTTTGTTTTAACTAATATCAAACCGTTGCTTGAAAACTCCGTCCTTTTTTGACAGAAGACTTGCATTTTATTATAAGAATTATTTATATGATTAATTGATTTGCATTCTTAGTACTTCTTTACAGTTCGCAAAATTAAGTGTCCGTAAGTATATTTTTTTTCTGTTTTTTTTTTTATATAAAATTGATATCTGAGTTCCAGCATTCTCTTTTTAAACGTTTACTAAAACACTTTGCTTTATTGCAAAAAATGTAATAAAGATACCCAATATCGATCATTACAATGAATGTCTATAAGTACTTTTTGTATCTGTACATCGACCCTTAAATCATGTCTTCAAAGTTTTAACACCGCATACAATAATAAAGTTGACTGTTAAAATCATTCTATCTGTTATCAATGAAATTTACTTGGTCAAGCGAAAATCCCAATGAAATATTTTCTTAGAGACAAGGTGTTCAAAGCCTTTGATAAAATTCTGCGTAATTTAGCATTCATGCCCAATTACTGCCCGTAAATTGTCAGATTGATGCTAAATACATCAGTCAACACCATAGTTTAATGACTCGTGTAATTTATTTGGCAAACTTTTCGTAGATTTTTCTTTCCAAAAAACCACATCTATTTAGCTTTGACAGTTGTTGCATTTGTGATGGTAAACTGTTCCCGTCTCTGTTGTAATACTTGTCAATCTCATAACAATAACTGCCTGTCTGCTTTGAGCTTATAGATTGCCGTCAGTGCGTTCACAGCTTATATTTGATACATGCATATATTTTACTTTCTTCGTGAAAAAAAATTGAAATAAAAAAGGAAGCGTCACACAATAAGTTGGTTTGATCGAAAGAGTAAAAAATCCACATTATAATTATAAAATGAAGTGGGGAGGGGTCTTAGTCCTTATACATGTATGTTATTTCAATACAGAAAGTAGTTGTAGTAGTAGCAGCAACAGCGAAAGTAGTTGTAGTAGTAGCAGCAACAGCGAAAGTATTCGTAAAGGTTGTAGTAGCAGTAATGTAGTAGTGCAAGTAGTTGTAGTACATGTAATAGCAGCACCTGCGAAAGTAGTTGTAGTAGTAGCATCAACAGCAAAAGTAGTTGTAGTAGTAGCAGCAATAGCGAAAGTAGTTGTAGTAGTAGCATCAACAGCGAAAGTAGTTGTAGTAGTAGCAGCAATAGCGAAACGAGTTTTAGTAGTAGCACCAACAGCGAAAGTAGTTATAGTAGTAACAGAAACAGCGAAAGAAGTTGTAGTAGTAACAGCAACAGCAAAAGTAGTCGTAGAGGTTGTAGTAGCAGTAATCTTGTAGTACACGTAGTTGAAGTACATGTAAGAGCAGCAAATGCGACAGTAGTTGTAGTAACAGCAACAGCAAAAGTAGTCGTAGAGGTTGTAGTAGCAGTAATGTAGTTTTGCAAGTAGTTGTAGTACATGTATTAGCAGCAACTGCGAAAGTAGTTTTTATGGGTTGTAGTAGCACTAATGTAGTAGTAGCAGAAGTGGTAAATGTTCTTGTTGTGATATTTTTAGTTATGTAGCAGTTATTGCTTATATAGTTTAAATATCATCTTGATGGTATAAATAGAGGTTCCAATAATAATTGTACTTTTAGATTGTCAGTCAATTAATAAAATTGAGAATGGAAATGAGGAAGGTGTCAAAGAGACAACAATCCGACCAAAGAGCAGAAAACAGTTGAAGGCAACCAATGGGTCTTCAACACAGCGAGAAAATCCCGCACCTGGAGGCGAGCTTCAGTTGGCCCCTAAACAACAATGTGTACTAGTTCAGTGAAAATGGACGTCACACTTAACTCCAAAACATATAAATGAACTAAAATTAAAAAAACATACAAGACTTACAAAGGCCAGAGGCTCCTGACTTGGGACAGGCGCAAACATGCGGCCGGGTTAAACATGTTTTGTGAGATCTCAACCCTCGATATACCTCTAGCCAATGCAGAATAAACAAAAACACAGCAATACGCACAGTAAAACTCAATTTAAAAATCCGAGTCCGATGTCATAATAGGTAACAAAAAATACTAAGCAAAATGACAATCATACATAAATTAACAAAGGACTACTAGCAGCTACTGGCATGCAGAACAGTTCAACTATCTACGGTTGGAGTTATTGATAAAGTCATATTTTGGCTGCTGTCAGGCATTTGCTAAAAACGAAAATCTCAGTAACATTTATGTCCCTCCATTTGTGCACCGTAATTTGAGGGAATTGCATCTATATTTGAGAGGAATGTCTAACTTTATACCGGAGAGTTACGTTTGTAGTGTTTTAGAACTATAGCATTTATTTGTTTATATATCTTTTCTACATCTGAAACTATTCAAAGCTGCCATTATCTTTAGCACTTTATAATTGTGTTAATGACCTTTTACATTAACACGATGTATTTTTAATTTGAATGCTTCAATCAAAGTATGTTAATTATTTTCCTTTGCATTACTGTTTAAGCATATCCATTAAGCAGCAGCGTTAAATATTTGTGAATCGCAATTATTTTGTAATTAACACCGAAAAATCTCTGATAACAGAATGTTTTATTTATTTTCTCTCTATCTCTCCACCATTGGGGACTCATTGCTTACGTGTTATTTACTTCGAGCTCGCGCCTCTCCTAGGTTTCTGTAGCTTATTTGGTGTACATTCAAGAAACATTGTATCAATATAGTCTTAGTACTGTTAGAATGTGTGTGATGAATAAGCAGTAGTTTATCACGATGAAAGTACAACACTGATCCAAATATCATTTGCTTTGAGAATATAATTTTATCTTAAAAAAATATGGTTTTAACGATTAAGTCTTCACGACATATTATGTTACTATTTAAACATTAGGTATCGTCATTACTTTTCCGTATGAAATACATTTGTGGTTAAAACGAGGGTCAGTATTCCACTTAGCTTTCGAATGGTAGAAATTATGGTTAGTACAATACATTGTATATATCATTGTCATTGTATATAGCATTGTATATATTCTATATCAAAAGATCAGCACACAGATATATATTAATAATATATTCAACGGTCATGACACGTGCTTTTTAAATATCCTTCATCAAAATTCGTGAGACCAAATAACTTATTATTGCGATTTTTGAAGAAAGGCAAAAAGCACAAGATTAATTAATTTTTGCAATTTCATGAAAATCTGCTTAGTCACTGATATGTATCGAATTCAGAATGCGAGTTCTTATTATTGCGATACTTTCGCATTTATAAAAAACTCGCAATAATTTCTGGATTTACAGTAGTTCATGTCACTTTTATATATGATATTACTGATGTTTTCATATTATCTACATTTGTACATTTCACTTTGCTATTTTTCAGACCTGGCATGATAGGCGATTGCAGTGGTCAACAGACAAGATCCCGTATATTACGGTTAATGACAGCTCAATTTGGACACCAGACATAGCCTTCTTGAATGCGTAAGTTACATTAATTATATTAATAAAATTGAGAATAGAAACGGGGAATGCGTCAAAGAGACAACAACCCGACAAAAGTGCATAACGTTTATTTTGATAGTTTGTTTATTTTGTATTTTTCATTGTTTTTCTTGGGGGAAAGGGAAAGTGAGGATTATGGCTAGATTTAATTCGGCGTTGATTTTGTCTATCATTCGACGGTTAGATAAGGTTCTATTAAACCATTTTGAACATTCAATTTGGATTCCAAAACTCTTACACGTATATATTTGGTACATTTCAACGTAAAGAAAATGGTCATTGAATGGTATCCTTTCCAATTATTTCATTGGTGATATTCCGAAAAAATTTCAGCATAATAAACATCAATGTAAAGAGTGACAAATTATATGGGAGTTTAGTATCAAAACGCCCTTTTTCAAACGTTTGTTGAACTTCTGGACGAAATATACTGTGATAGGTTACATAAGCAACACTATGTGAATTACAATTATTATAATTTCCTTTTAAATCTAACTGTCGCGGTCTTAACGTCACTTTAACGATTGATTACCCTTTTTTGTTAACAGTAGTGTGTTATCGTTTATCAAAGCGCGCAGTAGACGAACGAGACACTTAGGTTAATTTCTTAAAACTTTTTAAAATATTTGTTTTTGTGTATTGAACCATCAAACCTCGTGTTGTATAAATATTGCTCTTATCAATTAGATATGCTCGAAACTTTTGTTCAGAAACATGAATTTTCGCTTCAAAGTAAGCTTGAAAATCGAAGTGTCATAATCACTCAGCCGTCGTTTATCGTCTTTGTTAACACCCGATACAATAACAATGGAACATGTTTGTATCTTGTTTATTGTTTACGATACACTTAATACTTTTATTTGTTTTTTTCAGATTGGAATCTCCAAAAGCAATCATCCGACCACGTTTCGTCGTGATCGAACGAACAGGAAATGTTTTCCAATATCACAGACTCAGAATAACAACAGCATGTAAAAATAAAAACAACACATGCGGAGTACAAATAGGGTCAAACTTCTTCACAGATTCTGAACTGCTTATAACCGATTCACAATGCAGTATCCACGAAGAACTGCTGTCTTCTGTCATAAATATTGAACTTAAAAATATGACAGCAAATATGAGTATTATTGAACATGCTGATAATTTATTTAACGTAGATCAAATGTATTATCCAAAGTTTTCAAAATCAACTTTTTCCATAGTTACATGTGAAATTACTTTGGATAAGGACGACATGTTTCAAATGGAACATTCCCACCAAAAACAAGAGAAACCAGAAGCAGACGACGATAAAACAAATAGTGCAGAACAGACTATTCAGCGTTTAGGCTTTATAATAATTGGAATTTGTTTATTTTTTGTGTCATGAATATCCTCATATAGCCAATAGGAAGTCCTAATCTTTTAATTAAAAACATTTTCATCTATCATGTTCCTACTGAAGAAAAAAAAAATACCTTGCATGCTTTCTGTTTCTGATCTCTGACCAATTAATAATTTGGTTTCCCAACTGTTTTGATTCGAGCGCCACTGATGAGTATACTTTAGACTGAAAGGGCGTCTGGCGTATTAAATTATACGCCTTGGTATCTTTGATAAATTTATAATGTTAAAGTAAGAGAACTGTATCGCTCCTCTTGGTGATAGTTTTGAGAATCATATATCATAAAGTTTATTGATGTTGGCATCATAATGCAGTCAATGTTTGGGATGAATATTTTCCGAAGATAACTTGTCTAAAAGAAACTATTTTATTAGCTACAACATTATCCTTTATAGTTTGGACCAGGTCGTCTTTACATGGTTTGGGTGCCTTTAAATAAAGTCATGAAGTATATTATCTTGGTTGCCTTAAATACAGACACGTGGTATATTACGTCACGGGTGCCTTAAATAAAGTTACGGGGTATCGTCTAACAATCACATTGTAAGAACTTGCTCAACTAATGTTATGTTTGCATTGACTAAGATTTTCATTTTTCGATTGTGATAAGTTTTCTTTCATTGTCATAGTCTGGATTTTCATATTTGCCAATATTATTACTGTAATAGTCAGTCATTTTGAATAAAAAATGCCTTTACGAATCCTGTGAAATTTCAACATAAAAGTGTCCATCATAATATATGAAAATAAAAGGTTGACTATGATAAGATATATCGATTCAAGATTTAAATACTCGTTTCTGTTACTTTAAGGACTTGTTTAATCAAAGATGTGTGTTCTTCACCTGTACATATTATGGCAACTCGAAGAAATGATTTACCATTGAAAGCAATCGTCGTTTAAAAGAAGTTATAAATTTTAAGAATTCAAGTATATAATATTTCTAGCAAACATCTAATATGATATATTTGTAGAAAATCGTTCCCGAAGTGCCTTCAGTCAGAGACTGTGATTTGACACTTTTACCACTTTTGCAATAACTACAATTGACTCTAATCTGAAAGTGAAACTTTCCTCACAATCACGCCATTGTTTGCATTGGAGATGTACGTGTACACGTAGATTCAACATAATAACAGGCGTACACAAAACACAAATTAACAGAAAAAAAAATAATCGAAACAAGGGTGATTGCTTCACTGTAGGAGTATAATAACAATTTAATAATTTCAGATGCTTTCATCATTTGTTTTTTTAAATTTTTTATTGACAAATAAAATCAATGCTTTACATGTCCTATCAATGACACTACCTAACCCTCTCTTAAGAAAAATATTTAACATGCATAGTTGGCACCTTCAAACAAATTTAACCCCACCACATTCTATATGTGCCTGTCTTAAGTATGGAGCCTGGTTGTCGTTTGTTGCTGTATATCATAATTGTTTTTGTTCATTGTTTTGTACGTAAATCAGTCTGTCAGTCTTCTCGTTTGAATTGTTTTACATTTGTCGTTTTGTGGCCTTTTACAGCTGACTATTCATTATTAGTTTTGCTCATTGTTGAAGACCGTACGGTGACCTATAGTTGTTAAATTCTATGTCATTTGGTATCTGGTAGAGAGTTGTCTCATTGGCATTCATACCACATATTCTCATTTTATATATAGACTGATATTTTGTTTTATTGAATGACATACAAATTGCCGTTTAACCTATATATAAGTGTCTCTGTTTCAAAATCCTGGATTCGTCTATGTCTAATGCAGTTTGTTAATCTTGAAGATCAGAAGTATCTTTAAATACATGTAACCTAAGATTAGTGCAGTAAGGATATTGTATCATATTAATGGTGGAAAGGAAGTTAAAATAGATATGACACAAAGACGAATAGAATAAACACCTAAAAAATTGGCGATGTAGCATGATGAACTCTCGATGCCTTTAGGGTCTTAGTTTTGTTGAACATGTGTCGCTTTAACGTATACCCAACATCGCTTTTTATTCACACATAAAATAATTTCAGAATGTTATATATAATATTACCATAGATAAACTTAACAAATTATAATATAATGTCCGTTTTTAATGTTGCGTGAATGATGAATGATAACAATAATGTATATTTTATGAAAGGCATGGAACGATAAGGACTAGAAAGTTTAGTGTGTTTGTCGTTTGTTTTCCAAAAGTATAGTACACAAAATGAACTTGTTTATTATTATGATGTTTTGTAAAGGTGCATATAATAGTTAGTGTGTATTTGTTTGAATAAAAGAAAAAAACCCAGTCCATACGTGTAAACTTCAACTGGATAGTAGATTAGTCCAGATTATTATAAAGTCTTAAAGTCTTATGTTCGTCATGTTGTTCGTGCAATTTTACATGATTCTATATGCCAAGATAGACAACTGCGATTTGTCTTACGAATGATTTATATCCTTTCGTCTCACCTAAAGTGTGAGGGTCTGGAATAGAGGGTCCTTGAATTCTGTATTCTTTAATTTTTTAGCCATGTTTCTCTATATTCTTTATAAAATGTGCCCATTATTCCCCATTCTTTATATTTTGACACGCAATTATTCTCTATACTTAATTGTTTAAGCCATTTTTTCTCTATTCTTTATTTTTGGTGGCCTTTTTTCTGCATCTTTTGCCCATTATTCTCTATTCTGTAAACCCTGCCCAAACCTTCAGGTGTAAAGTATGATAGCCGAGTGTAGATTTTTGTCTCATTGGCACTCATATCACATCTTCTTATTTATATTTATACTTATAATGATATTGTTATTATGTTATTTATGTGTTTTTGTAATTCCTTGAGTTCTTATTTTCCATATGCCATGTAGCCAGGGTTCTCTCATCTGAACAGGTTTTAGTTATCGGCATTTTTAGGTATTATTATAGTACCGACAATTGAAAATAGGGAATCAAATGATGTTCTGTCTGACTGTCACACTGGTGATGTTAAAGTGTCTAAATTGCAGTTCAATATGTTGTCTCATCTTAGTGGTAAATCCTGTGTTATACATTTGTACATGTGTTTGGTTTTTCCACTATTCATCGTGAGGACTGATCTTCAAATAGAATCAGAACTTAGTCTTTTATTACTAGTTCTAACATGAAACCGTCAAAAGTAATTAAGAAATATACAATTTAAGAAACTGCTAGATATTGTCTAAATTCTAGGGAACTGTGTCTTAGTTATAGATAAAATTCTAGGGAACTGTGTCTTAGTTATAGACAATTCCACACCAGCTTTGTTCAAAAGGCAAATCAAAAGTCACACACATACACACGTACGCATAACTTATTTTCCGTAATAATTGTACGTATATAACGATATTAAAAAAATAATTTGAGCATCGTTCTTTGGGTAATTTCCGCAAATTGTGTTAGATTTTTCAGATTTTAAAATCTATTTTTGAGTGAACCGTATCGAAGAAGACTTTGAATATTTGTAATGAATATGTATCTGATTTCTGTCCCGGTGCCGGTGTAAGATTGAGTTAAGAGATTTGATAATGTGTACTGTAGTGTCTTGTGTTTTAAAATGTAATAATAACTTTACTATATACATTGTATGTACATATACCTATGTCCCATTATGAATTCCCATTATATCTTATATCTTCTAAGAAAAATCACATCCAATGTTAATCTAAATATAGATTGCTTGTACTTAGATTTAATGTATTTTGAAATGTAACATGATATAAATGAAAATAGACACAGAAGTTGTTCCAGTTTTTATTGGCAAAGAATAACGTCAAAAAAAATTAGTAAGAACAAAAACAAAAACAAAGATCGAACGAAAATTCCACACACACACATTCCCGATTCCACCTATCGCAATATCGTTTAAACAACATAACATTTTATGTCGTGATTCTTTGTTGTAAACATAACAAAGTAATTAATGTCGTTATAACGACATTATAATGAAATCAATAAGTTTCTACATTATTTGGGAAATAAAATCATGATTGGCAGATAAAAAAAATAAATGTTTGTAGCAGACCTATATATGACCTTGCATTCCATATGCCATTTACACTTAATGCTTAAAAGTGTTCACGCTATTGGTAGTGTCAGCACTATAATGAACAATTTTTAAATTATAACTTTGATTTATGTTATTCAAAACCATAGTTCAAAATAACTATATTTCAAAATCTAAAAACATACAAAAACTAGCTAAACTGCATTTAATGTCTTGGTGTGCTCCCTTCGAGTGCAAGAGGTTGTTGGTTCAATCACTGATTCAGCTCAAACACATCAAACGAACGGATAACAACTGTCATATTCCTGACTTGGTACAGGCATTTTCTTATGTAGAAAATGGTGGATTGAACCTGGTTTTATAGCTAGCTAAACCTCTAACTTGTATGACAGTCGCATCGAATTCCATTATATAGACAACGATGCGTGAACAAAACAAACAGACACAATATGTAAAAATGTCAAAAATAGGGGTACAGCAGTCAACATTGTGTTATCATCTTTATCACTATAAAAACAAACAAATGTAACAAAGAAGCACACAAAGGCATACATCAAATTTAACATCCTCATTTTGCTTTTTTATTATACGATTTTATTTATCTATGTAAAATTTTCCCATAAAGGATGGAAGGTTTTAAGTACTGGCGTAGAATCGCGCGTTTCACGTCACACAGGTAGATATGAAATAATTTTGTCGTTCAAAGTATGACGGGATACATAAGTACAGAGTCACGTCAAATGGATATCACAAAAAACAGACTTAACAGTAAAAGTAATATTAATAAAATAAAATAATTTTGTCGTTCAAAATATGACGGGATACATAAGTACAGAGTCACGTCAAATGGATATCACAAAAACAGACTTAACAGTAAAAGTAATATTGATAAAGACAAATAAAAGAATACTATAACACGTTATTAAGATGATAAACAATGTCAGTACGCAGAATCTATACTTCAAGACCATCGTGTATTATTTGTGAAGTTGATACGGAATATTTATCAAAAAGGTCTTGGTACCCTCCGATGACTTTTTTTTAGAAAAAGGACGAGACGCTCTTTGACATACCCCTGGTTCATCAACTTTCTGCTCAGACACTGGTGACGTTTTACAAAGTCTGAGTAGGAGCTGCCAGCTTTTGAATACCGAATAAGGTGAGAAATGTATATCACATATGCAGGTGAAGTTGGTATATTGCTACTAAGGTGGGGGAAATTGATAATTTCAAAATTAAAATCGTCTTGTTTGTCATAGATTCTGGTACTGAGATGACTGTGTATGTCAAATTCGAGATATAAGTCTAAAAATAAGGCGGAGGAAGCCGTGTCTGTTGTTTCTTTAATTTCTAGTTCTGGGGATTTATTAATGGAACCCAATCAGAAAAGTTCGGATTGTTAATGGAAAGAACATCATCAATATATCTGAAAGTGAAATTAGATAACCTGGCTTCTTTGATGTTCTTGTTTTTGACAAGTGTCTAAAGGAACTCCGATTCATATGAAAATAAGAAGAGGTCGGCAAGGAGAGGCGCACAGTTTGTTCCCATAGGAATGCCGATAATTTGTTGAAAAAGTCTACCTCCAAATTCAACAAATATGTTGTCAATAAGAAACTCCAGCATACTGATCACTTGTTCCTCTGGGTAGCATGTTTTACTCTTTTGTTCACTATAAACAAAATATGCCTTATGGTATCCCAAAGTAATAAATTTATAGCGTATGCTACCGTTTTTATGCTGAAAAGCATTGTGGACTATTTCTTTTAGACGGTTTTTCAATTTCACATTGGGAATGGTGATATACAAGGTTTAAAAATCAAAAGTTTTGATAGAACTAATTTCAGAAAAAGACCGAGAATTTAAATTATCCAGAAGTTCTTTAGAGTTTTTAAGAATCCACATATGGTTAATACCACTACGCGAGTAAACAGTTTCACAGTATTTCTGAAGACCCTATGTCACTGCGGACAATATTTTTATTGATTAAACATTGTCTGCTCTTTATTCCAACAAAAATACATTTTGTAGGAGTGTTAGCACGTGTAATCTTCATTAGATTATCTGTTAAAATTTAGCAAATTTGTTAACGTCAATACAACCAGGCAATACATCTTTATTACTAGTAAATGTCGCTTGAAAGAATCAATGTCTATTTTATTATGAAGCCATGCTTCACGCTTATAGATACAGTGAGTTGGGGTGGATTATTAAAACAAATGCAACATCTTTATCGTGATCACTTATATTTCGAGGTACATGATAAACATCGGAATTTTTTTTCATGATGTCGCTTATTAGGATAGAATCAAATAACAAATTTGATGGTTGATACTCCGCTTCGGCCAGTAAATGACATTTGTAAGATTAGATAAGATCATAGTTTGAACTAAACAAACCAAGGGTTCCAAGTGGAAAAGTTAAAATCATCCCGTCGAATGTTTTACGGAGGCCATTACAATTTGTTTATTGTTATATCATACATGTATATGTGCCACAGCTGACCACAGTCATGTTTCAATTGTCGGAACCACTATCTTACCTCTTTTCGTTGATTTTAAAATCATATAATGGGGCTAATATTTAAATCTGTACTCTCTATGAGTAGCATGACGGCTGCAACATGCAGAGCAGGATCTGCTTTCCCTTTAGGAGCACCTGCAATCAATCGTACTTTTTAAGAAGTTAGTGTTGTTATCGGTTTCTCTTTGACTTGTAATTTTACTTATGTTTTTTTCCGCCTCTTGTGTAATTATCCTGATTCATAACTTTTTCAACTCTATTTTTGATATATGTATCACTTTAATCTTTTCTTTTAGGGAAAACGTCAAAATGAAAACAACAAATCGACAATAAATCGAAGACATATCTATGGGTACACATACAATATGAAACATGATAGACAATTAACAATGCTTAGTCTATATGTAACAATATGCATTAATGTACCTATCAATACATGTTTTTTGTATAGCTTGCCTGGTTCGGCAATACAAGAGAACACAGTGACAAAATTCTGTAGGATATTATTTTCTCCAATCGGATTTAAAAAAAAATCATTTAAGATTTTAAGGAATCCAATACGATAAAGTCATAATCCCGTAAAAAGTAAAATAACAAAAATTCCGAACTCGGAGGAAAATTCAAAACGGAAAGTCCATAATCAAATAGCAAAATCAAGAGCTCAAACACATCAAACAAATGGATGACAACTGTTATATTATTGACTTGGTACAGGCATATTTTTATGTAGAAAATGGGGGATTAAACATGTTTTTATAGCTAGCTAAACCTCTCATTTGTATGACAGTCGCATAAAATTCCATTGCATTGACAAAAATGTGTGAACAAAACAAACAGACATAATAGGTAAGAATGTCAGAAATAGGGGTACAGCAGTCAACATTGTGTTATAATCTTAATCACTAAAAAAACAACAACCAAATATGTCAACAAAGAAAAACAAAAAGGCATATAGACATTTCATCCCTTTAGGACAAAAATAACTATATTTAAATATTTTATGGGATATTTAAATCCTGTTGGATTTCTTTATCCTTTATGAGAATTTATCTTCTACGGGATTAAATTGATATCCTACAGGATTTAAAGTCCTGTAGGATTTTCAAAAATAGTGGTAAATCCTATGGGATTTTGTGCATCCTATAGGAATATCCCGAAAGAAACAAATGTTCCTTAGGATTATTTTTTCTCCTAAAGGATTTATTTTGTCCTATCCTACAGAATTATTTTCTCTCCCTTTAAGATAAATTTTGTCCTGTTAGATTTTTTTGCTCTCTCTTTGATAAATGTTGTCCTATATTTTATCCCATAGGATATTGTTCTGTAATGAAATCCCTTTTTTATTAATCCTATCGGATATATCTTATCTTATCTTATGATTATATCATTAGACAAATCATATAGGATATAAAATATCCTGTAGGAAATGCTTTTTTTTTCTTCTCAGGGATTTGTTTCGTCCTAAGCGATACAATATACCCTGTAGGATATTTTTATTCTCCAAAGGGATTATAAATCCAATAAGATGTTAATGTCCGGTAGGATATTAAAAATATTCTACGGGTTTATGATTTTATTCTATAGGATTTCTAAAATTGAGAAGTGCAAGTTAATACAATGTGCCAATTTATTTTTTCTAGATTAACCATTATCAGGAACGTTCAAATTCGAATATTTGAAAAACTAGGGTGTATAAGAACCAAAACAGGTAAAGAGCTATATTAGAGTACAGAATTAAGAACCAAGGAAAAACTACATTGATAATAAGAAAAAAAATGGTTCTTAGATCTCTTCTCCTGTAGACAAAGGCTGTTCTACTATTAGATATCAGGTCGACGACATGGGTGTCTATTAAGTTGGATCTAAAAAATGCATAACCTCCGATTTTTCAAAAAAAAATTACCACGGACGGAGAACATATCAATCTATTTGTTCCTTAATTTTCTTATTGACAACATATTTGTTGAATTTGGAGGTAGACTTTTTCGT